TTAGCCACATCTCGTCAGGAAAGAGGAATTATAGTGCGAAAAAAGGTGGACTTTGATATGCTTTTACAGATTGAAGGCTTTACAAGAGAAGATGCTTTTGATTACATAAGAAAGCATTTTAAGAATGCTGGTCCTGAGAATGTGCTGAAAGGAGAGAGACTCATTGATGAAATCATGGAAAACACTTTCCTTGATGCGCTGTGGAACAATCCTCTAAACTTGTTACTCCTTTGCATTGTGTTTGAGGACTACCAGGGAGAACTGCCATCTTATCGCACTGAACTTTACCAGATAATTGTTTCTTGCATTCTACGGAGATATTGTGCCAAGCATGATCTAGAGGCTCCTGTTGATGACAAAAATGTGGTGAGGCTCTTTGAAGATAGTTTGCTAGTTCTTGGAGAGTTAGCTTGGAGATGCCTGGAAAAAGATCGATTTTCTTTTCGTGAAGAGGAATTGGTAGAATTTGAAACTGTAAATGCAAATCTAGCAGCTAGAGAACTTGGCCTCGTGTTCAAGGAAGCCAGCTTAAGGAAGATTAACCCACAGCATGAGTATTTCTTCTTTCACAAGACATTCCAAGAGTATCTGGCTGCATTTTATTTAGCTAACAAGCTATTGAAAAAAGAGGTTTATTTCTCTGAATTGCATTTAAACTTTTACAATGATATGACAGAGAGGTACAGACAAGTGTTCATCTTTATGTCTGGCATACTGGGTGAGGATGCTCGTCTTCTTTTTGAACAGATTGGCAAGAAGCTAAAGAAAGGAAACTGGGACTGGCACCAGTGCGCTGAAGAAGGCGCCACTTTCTTTGTTGAATGTTTCACTGAGAGTAGAAATGATGAACAAGTGGCAATAGCTCTTTCTTCCTTTATTCCGTTTCCACAGACCATGACCTTCAACTTATCACGTGAGGAAACAACAACAGGTGTTTTCATTGTTTTAAAAGCCTGTGAGAGTTTTTCACAGTTGCAACTTCCTGTTCATCTTGCACTAGAGTGTTCTTGGTGGGATGTTAATGCCAACCTAGGTGGTGACGAACTAGCTGACATCATAGCATCCAACACACAGCTACAAACACTTTCCTTTTCTGGTTGTGTTTTTGAAGAGACTACAGCTCTTTTGTGCAAAGCACTCACAGTAGACTCTACTTTACATTCCTTTACACTTGAGACAACTGGATGGATTTATTCCTGTGAAGTTGTTGCTATCAGTGACAGCTTGGCTGCAAATAAAACCTTAACAACTGTAACTTTAAAATTGCCTTATGAGGTGTTAAAGAGTTGCATAGCCATACTTGACAAGGGACTATCTGCAGATACGCCACTTACATCTGTTGTACTCAAGATTTTTAGTTCATGGAGAGAAACTGAAGCAGAAGATTTTAAAAAGATTTTATTGAACAGATCACTTACGTCTCTGAGCCTTACTCTGTTTGGAGACATGCAAGATTCA